CCAAACATGTGCCCTCCACACTACGGTCAGAATGACCTTTCAATATTCAATTGTGATCAAAATCTGGTTCATGTTCAGCTCTCCTGTTTCATTTCCCCCCACTAATTTTCCCCAACTCCATTTACTCCACACTTGACAGGTTTTCTTTTCCCTCTACACTTCCTCCTCTTTTCCTGCCTTCTTCCCCAGCCAAGTGCAACAAAAGCAGCATCAGCTGCTCTGAAAACTCTGCCTTCTAGGCCCAAGGGCCAATTTAAGCATTCCTGTGCGCGCCTAGCCCAGATCTCCTGTTTCTCCATCAGTCTCAGCACCGGTTCCCTAGCCCTCGCGCCCTGCTGCACTCAACTACCCTTTTTACCCGTGGCCGCCCCAAGTCCCCCAGCACAGGCAGACGGGTGTCACCAGAGGGGACACTCAAAGATAACAATGAAAACTGAGCCAATGAATTAAAGGTGAAGGTTGAAAATAAAGGATTGAGATTCGTATGGAGTTACTTCAACTCATTCTGTTCCTTTCAGGACGGCCATCTCGGTGAGGTAACATATTCCTGCCTGATGTAAACCATTTCTCAAACACCCTTCTCCCCGCCAACCCGAATCCTGGCACCCACTAGACCGCGAGGCCCGCTGGCCGTTTGTGACTGCGGATGGCCTCCGTCGTCAGCGCGCGGGCGGCCTCCCTCACAGAGGCGGCGTCCCTCACAGACGCTGCCTGGAGCCCGCCGCCCGGCCCCGCCTCGCGCCTCCCGGTCGTCGGGCACGCAGGGCCGCGGACCGGGTCTCGAAGGCTGTTCATGCGGGCGCGTGCCCCGTCCAGGGCCAGCCTGTCAGCACCTCGGAGAGGCCACTCGCGGCCTCCTGCGCCCGACGCGCGGCTCCTAGCAGCCCCGCCCGCCGGGGAAGCGCGCGCCGACGGTTAAACGGTTCTGGCCGTGCCGGGGTGCGACCGCCCTTGGGGCCCAGCGCCCGAGGCCACGCCCCGCTCCCTTCCGGGGCCCGCCTCGCGCCCCTCGGAGCCGCCCCCAACCCCGCCCCCCGCCGCCACAACCCCGGAGTCGTTCCCCGACGGGCAGCGGGGCGCTCGGTCGCCGCGTCTGGGCTGAGCGCGGCGACGCTGCTGCCCCGAAATCCTCCTGGATCTTGAGGCGGTAGGTGGCCGGGGAGGATGAGCGACACCAGGGGCCAGAAGTTGGGCCCCGCGGTGTGAGGAGACGGGTGGGCGCCGTCTCTGAGGCGAGGGAGAGAAGCTCTGGGGTGGGTCGGGACAGGTCACTGCGGACCCCCACAGGGCCCGCGGGTGGGCTACAGAGTGGGGTGGGAGCGAGCACGGCGCACCGGGGAAGGGAAGCCTCGAAGGATTGGGAAACCCGCGGAGGGGCGAGCGGCAGTGGGAGAGTTAACCCTGCTAAGGGGGATGTCGACAACAAACAGCCATCAAAAAAGTAAACACACAGAGCCTTCTGTCTCGGCCCCCGGGTCTGGTTCTGGGTGGCGGGATGGTGTGGAGACTTTTTGTCCCCCATACCCTGTGGTAAAAGGCTTTCATTGCTGGTATTTTAGACAGTTACCTTAGTTAGGGAGCCCCGAACCCCTATCACCTGGACAGTTTTATCCCATCTAAATGTTAAATTGTGTTTCTATTGAAAATACCTCGAATAGAGGGGGAAGAACCCCCCATTTTTTGATTAGTTATAAAGAGAAGGCATGAAATGGAAAATATGATGAAACTCTCTTCGTTTATAGCTTTTTGATGTTTTAGTTTTAATTTTCCTGAATAGTGCAACCAGATTTATGGAATATAAAATGTCTTTCACCACCTGTCATAATTGCTTTATTTCTTACTCCTCGAATATTTCCTTTGTGTTACTTTTCATCATTTCATCAATATGGTCACGTCACTTACAAGCAGCATTTGGTTTCAAGGAATCTCAGCTGTGTAAAAGTAATGTTTTGAATTTGGGAACTGAGATTAAATCCTATCTTGTTTTATGGGAAATAAACACAAGGTAAATGAGAATATGGGCTTTTCATCTCATTATTTTATTTTATTTTATTTTTTA